AATGTAGATGATATGTTAATTTTTGGAAAAAATGCTTTTTTGTTTCGGATTTTAATCCTTTTTTTCCATATTTCTTCTCTTCTCTAACAGCAGTTTCTTAGCTTCAGGGTTCATCCAATCCAACGATCGTCGGGGTCCAGCATGCTTGGCTTATTTTGCGTACTCAAGAAGCTTATCAACAACGTAACACGTCTGACAAATTACTGTTCAAATCTACAGGACATTTATTGGGAGCTGTTTTTGGATGCTTTAATTAAGCCATCAAGCGAAGGAGCGAGGGGGAGGGGGTGAAAAACATGCTCATCAAGAAATTAGGTATTTTTGGGGGGTGGAGGAAAAAGTGCCAGAAAACGGGTCCGCTTTTAATTTTGCGCACAAAAAGCAACCAGTGCAATTCGAGCAATTGCCCGGGTGCACTGTCCCATCATCTGATGCTCGAGAATGCACAAACATAACTCATCCCTCCCCTTTACCCTCTGCTCCCCCTGGGTCGTCGACGTGTGAAAGATGAGGTTTAATGCGCAATTTTACAGAAATGTTTTCGCAAATTCTTTCACAGAAGAACATTGCGGTGAATCTCCCCCTCCCCCCTCCCCCCTCCAACCTCTTTCCAGAAATGTATTTTTGAAATTTGAGGGGAAAAAAACATTTGTGCAAACATTTGCACAGCAAATTTTTGTATGTTACGTACCATGATTATCAAGAATGCCCGGGTAATCAATGTGTGTACCTCATATCAGCGATTTTATTGGAATTCTCCCAAATGACGAAACTGTGCCAAGCCATCGACCCTCAGTTGTATGCCTCCAACTGGCACTCACCGCCTGTTCGATGTGTGTGAGATACTTTTTCAAGGTTCGTCCGAGTGGTCACTTACTTTTTCAAGGTCGGCCCGAGTGGTCGCTTAATTTTTCAAAGTCCGTCCGAGTGGTGGCTTACTTTTTCAAAGTCTACTCGAGTGGTCGCTTACTTCTCAAGGTCCGCCCGAGTGGTCGCTTACTTTTTCAAAGTCCGCCCGAGTGGTCGCTTAGTTTTTTAAAGTCCGCCCGAGTGGTTGCTTACTTTTTCAAGGCCCGTCCGAGTGGTTGCTCATTTTCCCGCAAGTACCATTCCCTAATGCGCAGTACCCAGTACCCGCCGGTTGTCAACAAGGCGAGCAACATGTCCTTCCCAACAAACTGTTTTTTTTTTTCCTGAACGTGCACCACGATATCTTTGAGGCCTCAAATTCACAGTCTGATTGTTTATATGGTCACACAGGGCGATACTCCAAGCATCGCTCTTACCGTTCGCTTCTTTTATTTCATCACTGGCCATATTTTTTCAGGTTTTTTTTTTCATTTGATCCAAGCACCTTCTAAACTTACACTGCAACTGCCATACGTGAAATCTAAGCACATGTGAACGCTAATTTTAAAAAGGGAAGGTGGCACACGGTGTAGGAATATGCTCCCAAAATTTCAGTTTCCAAGCCTTCCCCATTACCGTGATGAAAATAGATAACAAGGTTCACTCGTTTCCGAACACACATTCACACAAAAAAAAAACATCTTGAAAAATCTCCATTTTTACAAAATTTGCAAAAACGCATAATGCCCAGTTACTCGTACAAAGGCCACTAAGGGTATGAAATTAATCCCAGTGGAAGAATCCAGTCTGAATCAGAATATATTCAACGAGGAGGCAGGTAAAATCAAAAAAAAAAAAAAAAATAACGCTAAAAATTTAAAAAAAAATTGAGTAACAAACATTTTTTTTT